GACTGGTGTGATCTGCTCATATTTTCTGGTCCTGCTCAGACTCCTGGCAGCGGCGTTCTGTATGAGCTGCAACTGTCTTATGGTATTTTTAGGAAGGCCAATGAGGAGATACAGTAATGCACCCTGCTGGTGTAAGCAAGCATAATGGAGATAAAGGGATAGTTCACTTTGAAATTAATTTTTCGTATGTTTTAGCTTACCCCAAGGGTATCCAAGATGTAGGTGACAAAATGCACCCAAAAGTATATAAATCCTAAAGGAAAACTCACAACTTCAAAAAAAAATGATGAGCATATGTGTCATAACATGTAAAAGAAGCATGCACAGTTTCATGTAGATCAGACCATAGATGGTGCTATATCTGTTAAAAAGCATTAAAACCATGTATTTGCAATGGTTAATTGCCTGTATTGGCTGTAAATGGTGTTTTCCATCTATTATGTCACTGGATAAATGTATGTTTAATAAAATTTAATGCCTTTTGATGCTTTTGTGCTTTAAGGCCTTAAAGGCCTAAACTGCTTGAACACCGATAAATGCTGCTTGCAGCTTTAATTATTATTATTATTATTATTATTCCGCCGTAAAACGCATCGTGCAGCCCAAACCGTAAGAGCTGGATCTTTGAAACTTTGACAGCTGGTAGTACAAAAATCGAGGAGAGGTTATCAAATTATGAGCCATATTGGCCCATAGGTGGCGCTATAATAATCAATTGCGCGAAACTGCTCATATCTCCTAGAATGTAAGTTGTAGACTCAAGTGTCTTATATCACTGGAAAGCTGGATGCCTGAAGGACAAAACGTATATCTCGGATTTTTAATTTTATATGCAAATTTGTCCGCCATTTTGAATTTTATCTAAAACCTACTTTTGCGAACTAGTCCCTGGATTTTTGCCCGATCGGAACCAAACCAGTGCAGAAATGTTCTCTGGAGTCTGAATACCAATAATTATCGAAAAAAAGTTGTATTTTCGATTCAAGGTCGATAGGGGGTGCAAAATGAACATTTTGAAATTAGGCAATTTTACTAAAATGGCTATAACTCAAGAAGTAAATAAGATATCTTCACCAAACTCAATAGACATGTGTAGGAGGACAGTTTGCGGTCACTGTAAAAATACTGCATCGATTGGTCACATGGTGGCGCTATAACATTAAATAAACATATAATTGGCTAAAACCATCTGGCCATTTGTCCAATTGACTTGAAATTTGGTATGCAGTGTCTTGGTGCAAGTTACCATGTATGTCTAAAAGGATATTGGCATATCTCAAAAAACATGGCCGCCATCAACCAATGAAGTTTGAGCACCTATTAGACGAGGTTAACGGAGGCTGATCGGAACGAAACTCGAGGGGCATATTCGACTTGTGGCACTAGAGATCTGTAAGAATTTTCATAGAAATCGGCCACTAGTTGGCGCTAAAGAGTTTTATGGCTCTGTAATCACGTGGTGTTGCACACATCCACACAAAATGAATATCATTTGATAGATCTCCTCATGATGAACAACTTTGCCTCTAGAACCATTGCTGTCAATTGAATCGTTCATTAAATATTCACAAATATGTTGAAAACCTACTTTTGCGAACTAGTCCCTGGTTTTTTGTCTAATCAAAACCAAACCAGTCTAGGACAAATCTCTGGAGTCTCTAGATAAATAATTATTGAAAAAAAGTTGAACTTTTTAATTTTTTGCATGGTATTAAAAGGGTTATTTTGAAAAGGGGTGTGGCATAATGAACCAAAAAAGCCTATAAATCCTAAAGGAAAACTCAGAACTTCACAAAAATTGATGAGCATATGTGACATAACATGCTGAAGAAGCATGCAAAGTTTCATGGAGATCGAACCGTAGACATAATATATAATTCATATTATGTCTTTATCAATTCAATAGTTTAACAATAATCACATAATCACAATAATTTAGTCCAAAAGGGTAGGGGCGGCAGTGGCTCAGTGGTTCATGTAGGTTGTCTACAAACCGAAAGGTTGGTGGTTCGATCCCCGGTTCCACCTGACCAAGTGTCGAGGTGTCTATGAGCAAGACACCTAACCCTATAATGTTAGCCAGTGCAGTACAATTCTCTGAACTCTCTTGATCAATTATTATAAGAAAAAGTTGAACTACTTCATGTGAATGCCTATAATCGATGGCTTCAACATGTAGCCTTGAAATGAATGCTCAGATGTTAAACACAAGTTAGAACACGTGACATTAAAACATCATGAACATTTTCAGACAGATCGGACAAAATATGCCTATACAACAGTTAAAAAGGTGAACATGATATCAACATGATGGTCTATTAAGCCAATAAGTGGAGTTTTACTGCCCCCTGCTGTTCAAAATTGTCATTTGTCATGACTACTCAACTATAATTCATATTATGACTTTATCAATTCACTAGTTTAACAATAATCACATAATCACAATAATTTAGTCAAAAAGGGTAGGGGCGGCAGTGGCTCAGTGGTTCATGTAGGTTGTCTACAAACCGAAAGGTTTGTGGTTCGATACCCGGTTCCACCTGACCAAGTGTCGAGGTGTCTATGAGCAAGACACCTAACCCTATAATGTTAGCCAGTGCAGTACAATTTTCTGAACTCTCTTGATCAATTATTATAAGAAAAAGTTGAACTACTTCATGTGAATGCCTATAATCGATGGCTTCAACATGTAGCCTTGAAATTAATGCTCAGATCTTAAAAACAAGTTAGAACACGTGACATTGAAACATCACGAACATTTTCAGACAGATCGGACAAAATATGCCTATATAACAGTTAAAAAGGTGAAAATGATATCAACATGATGGTCTATTAAGCTAATAAGTGGAGTTTTACTGCCCCCTGCTGTTCAAAATTGTCATTTGTCATGACTACTCAACTATAATTCACTAGTTTAACAATAATCACATAATCACAATAATTTAGTCAAAAAGGGTAGGGGCGGCAGTGGCTCAGTGGTTCATGTAGGTTGTCTACAAACCGAAAGGTTGGTGGTTCGATCCCCGGTTCAGCCTGACCAAGTGTCGAGGTGTCCATGAGCAAGACACCTAACCCCAGCTGCTCCCGACAAGCTGAATGGTGCCATGTATGGCTGACACCGCCGTCAGTGTGTGAATGGGTGAATGTGAGGCAATATGTAAAGCGCTTTGGTGACCATTAGGTCTATGAATGTGCTATATAAATGCTGTCCATTTACCAAAATTACTATGACAACTGTCACATTTACTTTGACAACTGTCACATCTAGCTCATGTGATTCTAATGATCTGAGTGATCTGTTAGGTTTATATTCAGTGAGCATATCTGTAATATATTGAGGTCCTAACCCATTAAATGATTTATATACCAGTAATAATACTTTGAAATCAATCCTAAATGTAACTGGGAGCCAGTGTAAAGACCTGAGGACTGGTGTGATCTGCTCATATTTTCTGGTCCTGCTCAGACTCCTGGCAGCGGCGTTCTGTATGAGCTGCAACTGTCTTATGGTATTTTTAGGAAGGCCAATGAGGAGATACAGTAATGCACCCTGCTGGTGTAAGCAAGCATAATGGAGATAAAGGGATAGTTCACTTTGAAATTAATTTTTCGTATGTTTTAGCTTACCCCAAGGGTATCCAAGATGTAGGTGACAAAATGCACCCAAAAGTATATAAATCCTAAAGGAAAACTCACAACTTCAAAAAAAAAATGATGAGCATATGTGTCATAACATGTAAAAGAAGCATGCACAGTTTCATGGAGATCAGACCATAGATGGTGCTATATCTGTTAAAAAGCATTAAAACCATGTATTTGCAATGGTTAATTGCCTGTATTGGCTGTAAATGGTGTTTTCCATCTATTATGTCACTGGATAAATGTATGTTTAATAAAATTTAATGCCTTTTGATGCTTTTGTGCTTTAAGGCCTTAAAGGCCTAAACTGCTTGAACACCGATAAATGCTGCTTGCAGCTTTAATTACATTTATGATTACACTGTTAACCCTTACATCTCAACCCACCCTTAAACCCACCAAACCTGCCCCTAACCTGTATCCCACCTCAGTGTTTTGCAATACAGTATGAACACAATAAGTACATTGCACTTTTTATATGTAAGTATAGTGGTTAAAGACATCTAATATAAAGTGAGACCATAAACTGCAACAAGAGGTAAACGTATTTTCAGTGTTATTTTAACACTGAACTTGTAAGATTATAACTTGGGGCTTAAAGGGAAAGTTCACCCATTTACTCACCCTCATGTTGTTCCAAAGTTTCTTTCTTGTGTGGAACGTCCATACTATCGGAAAAAAATATTATGGAAGTCAATGGGGACCACCATAAAAAAAAGCTTGAAACCAAAAATTGATTGGTGAATAAAACGAAAACATTGTTTTTTCTGATACATGTCTTTTTTTAATAGGGTCTACAGAGGACATTTACATTTAGTCATTTAGCAGACGCCTTTTTAAGCGACTTAGCCTACATCTGAGGAATAAATCAAACAAGTCATTGTGGAGAGGCAATAACAACAGAATTGCCCAAATGCAAAGTTTAACATTGCTCAGAGTAGTATATATAAACCATAGACTGTGGTATAAACCAGACAAGTAAGGATTTTTTTATAGCACAGGATAAGAAAACTTTATTTCATTTGTTTCTTATATACTCCAAACAATGTAATGACCTAAAAAAATTATCTACAAAACTTTTTGTGGCTCTCTTCTCATGAGAGTATCATTTTTTTTTTTTTCCAGAATCATGAATATTTTTATTGTGGTGTCATCATTGTCCTTGGGTTACAAGCACCAAGTCCAAGCCTATTCGTTTAAAGTTTAAACCTACAATGTAATTTCAAATTTAGCATTTTAAACAACAGTACATTTTTTTTATTTATTTATTTTTATTGCAGAACTTATACAAAAAAAACCAACACAGGGAAGTAAGGCAAGGTGTCATGAGAATATCATTGTTATTTTCTGTTTGCTCTTGGTGACGTCACCGAACCGGAGGGCCGGGTGATCCTCCAACGCGGCGCCTAGTCACACGGGCCAGGAGGAATCAACAACCCAAGCCGGAATTTCAGAGCTAGGTTGTGTCCCCACCCCTCGGTCCGTGTCTGTATCCGTTTGTGTGCGTGTGTGGAGAGTTCTGGCCGGTGCTCTCGTGATTCGGTAACCGGGGGAAGATGGCGGACCCGGCAGAGTGCACCATTAAAGTCATGTGCCGTTTCAGGCCGTTAAACAGCTCGGAGGTGACAAGAGGGGACAAATACGTAGCGAAATTTCAGGGAGAGGACAGTGTCGTTATTGGGGTGAGTGTTATTTTGGGACAAGGTTATTTTTTTTATATAGCTAGTATTTTGGTTGGTCTCGCGCGAGTGGCTAATGCTAATGACCGCAGCCCAGTTAAAGTTACCACCGGAATTTGTCACAACCTGTTAATCTGAATAATTGACACCGACACTAGCCACTGCCTCTGGTCCGGTTCCACCTGAAACCGACGGTTTAATTCAGACATAAGTGTTAATTTAGTTCATTTCTGTGTCGTTTCCTCATCCGGTTCATGCTAACCCTGTTAGCCACGCCTGCAGATTCAACGCGGAAACACAGCCAGTTTTACACTTTTGAAAAAGCAAAAACGTATTTTATTTATATATTCGGAATGGTTGCACATTGTAGGTTATGATGACCATTTTAAACCTCTAATTGTATGGTTAGGTGTAAGTTAGATATGTTGAATGAGCAGGAAACTATCCATATTTTTTAGGTGCTTGTAAACACTGAGATAATTTCAATGTAAAAACCTTTTCAAATGTTTTGATATAAAAAAACAAAACAAAAACAAAATAGGATCCACTTTCCAATATCTCCTTTCATAAAAATGCCTAAAGGCATTATATATTAATAAATGCATTATACATTATTTATTAAATATTGTTAAAAGTCATTTATTTCTCAGTTTTGCTGACCCTAGTTTGAAAACCCCTGCTTTATAACATCAGCACTCACATGCATTGCACATATATAGTTACTTATATGTGTCTTAATTACTGGTGAAATTGGACATAAGGTTGTTCATTGGGTGAAATGAGGATAAAGGCTCAGTTAGCATATAACTTTTATGGGTTTCTAACCAAAGACCTGAATGTGACGTCTGTTTTAAAAGGAACCAGTAGAGATGTTGATGTTCCTGGTGCGATCCGTGTGTGCAGTGAAAAACATGAGTCATAGTGCTGCACTTGGATCTACTTGTATTTGGGTGGGAGACTGGGGAATTGATTGTCACTGTGCTTTTATTATCTTTAAACCCAGTTCAAACATTACAGGCTAGGCTATAGCCCTATGTATTATGTGATAAACTCTGAATCGTTTCACTAAACCATCATGGCATGACAAATGACATTTGAAAGCAAACATCAGTCAGTGGTGTTCTGAACTGAAGTGAAAAAAAATTAATAAATAAATGAAATTACGTTCCAGTAACTTAATGCCGCACATTTTTCTGGTTAAATTTTACTTTAAAAAAATGATGTTTTGTATTTTTACATTACCAATGTAATTAATGTTCGATTTATTAAAACCAAGCATAGGTATCTAGGTAAGCATTGTTTTAAGCATTTTACATTTATTCCAAAATAAAAAAGGCAGGATCAATTTAAACAATACTTTTTTTGCACTGATGTTCAGCTGTTCTTTTTAATAGTCAATTTATTTTCATTAGTTATCAAGCTTGTTAAACAGTGGCTTGTTAAGAGGCGGGGTTTATCGTGTGAGAAAATCACGGCGCAATTGAGGCATTGCCTCTCATGTGACTTTCCCCCATTTATTCTCAATTAATCCCCCCCGCTAAACCCACTACACTCTTTAGAGGCTATGTTAAAGTCAATGGGCTCAGGGGTGTTCCTCTGTTACTTGGCCAACAGTGTTCCTTTAGAAAAAAACCCCAACTTTTTTTATGACACATTTTGTAATATTTCTTTGCTTTCTTTTATTTGTGTAATATGGATTTTTTTCTCATCCTATCTTTTTGAGGAGACACTGCCTCCCATGGCTAGCCTGACTTCGTCATACTCATATTCTAGTGAGAATATGAGTCTGAAGCTGCTTCATTGGGCTTTGATTACGAGGTGCGTCTTAACCGAACCCTGCACTCAATTGAATAGTCGGTAAACCTACAACCAATCAGAGCAACGCAGTAAGGCAACTACTTTGCATTTCAAAGTTGTCAACAGAACTTACTTATTTTAGAAGTTAAATAACGAGTGTTTCTTCTTTTACTTGGTCCATGAGTGCGACCAAAGGAGAAACCCCAACGACCACAGGCTTTTCATTACGCCCCATCTTCTTAGCAACCGTCAGAGCCAGCTGATAAGTTACACTTTTGCCGAATCATGTAGGAAGGACGGCAAAGATATCTTTCCGATCGACAAATGCCTTGATTGCAGTTTTCTGTTCGTCTATTCAAATGAATGCACTGTCGGTTCATTTTAAAAACAGACGCGGCAGCGTAATCTATACATCTCGATGTATTTTTTAGGTAGGGAAACCAGTTAAGCGCTCTTTGATAAGGTGATGATGATGTCCCTGAAGATAATCTGTCCATCATCGTATAAAGCCCGCCCTGGCAAATTGATTGGCCCGATCATTTTTTGCCTGATCATAATTACTCCTCAATGGATTGAGTCCAGACCGAACTTCCCGACCAAAAAATGTTGTGGGCGGAGTTCGGGCTGGCTATCCTATGGCTCCCCGGTGGAAACTCCCCTGGCAAACATGCTATGTGGCAAGCTGTCTCAATCATATGAGTGACCACCATCCCTTTTAATGTAAATAATAATGATTTCATAGAGCAGTTTTTCTCGTACATCTGGTTCAATTTCATAAATCTTTTATGATCATGTGCTGGATCAAGAATTCCCGTCTGGTTACAGTGTTTGTTCTTTCCAGAAAGACCGGCTCTGAAACGGATATGTTTGTTTTTGTTCAGTCCTCCTCACTCTCTTAATACTCCTCTTCTATGTGTATGAAGAAGAAGATAGTGTGAGAGAATTCCCTGGAATCGGAGTCTCCTTTGTGAAAAATGTGTGTGAGCACTAGAGGAAGGTGAGATAATGCTTTGGAAATAGAGAGCGCTCCACCCTGTGCAGCCCCTGGGACTCTGTGCATGTGTAAGTGAGATGACAAAATAGTTAGGGAAGAAAGTGCCTCGATTAGAAGTCTGGAAAATGTTCTTCTCACTGGAGATTGGCCTCAGTTCTTCTGTCAACACTGTGCACATAGCCCATATCTGCACATTTCTACTTCGTTATCAGTTCCCAAAACAAAATTGAAAATAAATTTGCGACACTATGTAACTTTTAGTAAAGACAATAATTATAATATTATAGAATGTATTAATGTTTTATTTTTTATAATGTTTAATTGTGTTTATTGTTTTTATTATTATTATAGTCTCAAAAGCAAGAATAAAATGATTAATATTCCTTGAGATTCACATATATTGTTAATGTTTTTGCAAAAAACAAAACAAATACAAATATAATATGCAAAAAAAAAAAATATATTTTTAACCCTCTGTCTGAAATAATCTGTTTTAAAGGGTGGCTCCTTTTAAGGCTTGTTAATTAACATTCACTGTTATGATTGTCTAACATCACTACACAGGAAACAGGATCAACCCCCCATTATTAATGCTGGCTAGTGAATGTTTTGAAGACATTCTCCAATATAAAATAATTTATAGCATTATGAAATCATTTACTTATGGTTTGTGATGCAGCTGCTGTCAGATCCAGTACAGTTTGCTGCTTCTTTCAACAAACGTTTATTTGCAAACTCTCTATTACCCTACCTCGTTCACAAAACAAAATGCTCCAAACAAACATATAATCCTTCAATGACATTACAATAAAACCCATCCACCTGGGACGCTGGGATCCTTCTGAAGTCTGTACAAAAGAAATTACATTCAGTATAATTAATTATTAGCTTTTTATTAACTCACTAACCCCCCTGCAGTTCCCTCATGATTGAACACTTATTTTGGGAAACCATGGAGTTCAGGAACATGCTTTTTCTGGCAGTCACTAGTCTTCCTCCTCTGTTCTTAGCTCATTTGTCGATATTTAAAATCTGCACATTTTAACTGGCTTAATACTTGCGGCTAAAGAAAATGCATTTTACACACTGTAAACCAGCGGCTTGTGAAAGGCTGTTAAACTTTTTATTTCCCGTCATTCCCTCTAGACTTTGGACATCATAAGACAGTCATTCACCCAGATATTGCAATCAACTGGCTTCTTTTTGTCATGCATTGCCTTGTTGATTGATAACAACATTGAATTTTGTAGTATATTATATATATATTTTTTATTTTGAATAGTGAATAGTATATATTTTTTCCTACTATGGAAGTCAATGAGACCAGAAACTGTCTGGTTACTGATATTCTTCTTTACACAATTATGTAGACTACTTCTAGTCTCAACAAAGATGTGGGATAAGATATGGGACACTTACGATTTGACATTGCCCTGACTGCATAAAAACAAGGTAGCACAGTAGTCAACGATTAAACTTTATAGATCAGGTGAGAAAATGAATGTAAATTGTTGTGTCATAGTGGCTGTCTGTACAGTATGATGGCTGGAAGGGTGTGGTGGTTTGTGTAGTTTGTTCCAGTATTGGACTGGTCCTGACCTGCTCTTTTTGTCCCTGGGGATCTTAAGTGTGTACTTTTGTTGCAAGTTTGTTTTTTGCATACCATAAATCTCTGAAACAGTGTTAAGTTATTAAAGCATTAATTGACTTCCCCTCAGGCCATACCCCATGGAAGAGCTTATAGTTTGGAGCCAAAGAGTTGGCAATCTTTCTTAGTCACTTTGCACTTTAGCAGAAGCCGAATCTGCAGTCTTTGTGTTGGCAGTCCAGTGCTTTAACCATTAGGCTAAGGCTACCATCACCACAATTGGATGGTATATCTGTGTTTTGTTAAAGGGCGTTCACCACCTCTTGTGTTGTTGAATGCATTTTTTTAACCAATATCCCCCCAGTCCTTAAAATAATAAATATATTCTTTGTTCAGCCATACTTATCACCTTGCCTTATCACAAGGCCAAAAATAATCCCATCATGCCAGTTCTTCAGGAGGTGCACTAGGTTTTTGCTTTATGCTGTTGGCTGTGATCATGAATTTGTTGGTTAGCATGTGTTGTTTGCTGCCTGATGTCATCATCACAGACACAATATATGCATGTTTACATTGAAAATTGTCAAAACTGTCTTATCAAGACAATGTAAGTGCACGGAGTAGCAGCACAAAACACAAAGATTAACGAGTATGCTCTACAGTAGTGGTACGTTATGACACAGAACTTGGAGCAAGTTAAATGAATGGTTTTCTCACTGGTGTAGTATACTGCCACAGCCCACATTACATTAATGCTGGAGTTTTTAATTAATTTTACAATTCAGTATTTATTTGATGAGAAAGCCATATGTTTGGTCATTCCCTCGCTGCTTATCAGCTGATCAAGTCTAGCATTTGTATGGTGTAACAATTTAGTCTGTTCCATGTTTTTTGATGGTAAACTTTTTAAAATCTAAAAAAAAGATCTAATGGTACTTAATGGTTCTAAATGCATTACATTTTATATTTGTTTTTCTCCTATCTACAGGGTAAACCGTATGCGTTTGACAGAGTTTTCCAGTCCAACACGTCTCAGGAGCAAGTGTACACGGCCTGCGCTCAACAAATCGTCAAAGGTAAAAGCATCATGTCTCATGATAGACCTCCGAATCAAAGCAAAAAGGCAGAACATGCAATGAGGCTTAAATATGAATGTGTTCCCACAGATGTGCTTGGTGGATATAACGGAACCATTTTCGCCTATGGTCAGACGTCATCAGGCAAAACGCACACAATGGAGGTGAGTGAGAAATGGTGAAATATCTCAGTTGTGGTGAAAAGTCAAGAATTTAAATTAACTTAACAATTAACTTTAATTAGAATTTAAATAAGAATTTAAATTAACTTAATAATAAGAATTATGTGCAAAATCACCTTCACATACACGCATATGATTTTTTTTTTTTTCCCCAAATCTTATCTGTAGATGATATTTTAAGTTCATGGTCAAATGCACCTTTATGTTTAGGGTTGTTTGATAGCAGTGAAGTGATTTTATTCATAATCAGGTTTAGTTTATTTATATCATGACACTTTATACAATACAAATAGCTTCAGAGCTACTTGTAAGTGAAAACCTTCAACCTGTATTAGGCTTAAGGTATACAGTATATACTATACCATGTCAAACTTTCTGTTTATTCTGAAATTTAGAATAATTTCGGTATAGACCCCTTTTGCGCCGACGTCACAGTTACGTCACGGCGTTAGCTGGAGGCAAAACAAAGTGAAAACTGGAGGCGGCCAATACAAAACAGCACAGATTCGGCTACATAATAAGGAGCTTAAATAATTGTTACTATTATTAAATGTCATTTTGTTGTGTTGTTTGGTGCAAGAATTGATGAAAAATGAATATACTGTATCTGGAACTTTTATTTTTAGAAAATATTCACATCATTAAAATCGCACTGTAATGTCACTCTTTACATTGTCGTGGTCTCGGCGCTGGCTCGGCAGAACTTGCCTTGCCTTGCCTTGCAGTTTCTCTTTACGATCGTTTTTTTGAAAATAACAACTTTTGGAAATAACGGTCCTGGACACTGAGTGACCTTACACATTAAGATAATATCAGATTTTCTCCAGTCATTGTTAAAAAAACAAGCTAACAATCCTTGCTAACTAGCGTTAGTGAAGCGGCCAGAGGGATCTTTCTGCCTCCACCTAAGCTCCACCCACAAAAAAAACGTCACCATGTTTACCAACTGTAAAAGGGTCTATTCTGTGTGTGTATATAATACCGGTATTATATATAAAAAAAATAGTGGTGCAAACAGGCTGTTTTAGGTAGGTAGTGTTGTAAATAATAGCTTGTTTTATTCCACTTTTAAGTCTGATGTATTGTGGTTGTTCTGTAGGGAAATCTTCATGACACAGATGCAATGGGAATTATTCCCAGAATAGTACAAGACATCTTTAACTACATTTACTCTATGGATGAAAATCTGGAGTTCCACATTAAAGTAAGTTATTGCCTTGACACAATCTTTCATTTATGCTTTCTTTCCATTCATTGGAATTTGGAACCTTGTTGCATCATTTCAAGCTGGATCCGGTCTCTTGATGGTATGGTTTAACTTTGACAGGTGTCATATTTTGAGATATACCTGGATAAGATTCGGGACCTATTGGATGGTGAGTGTGGAAGTGGTTCTAAGCCTCACATCTACCAACCAATTGATCTCAACATAATGATTTTAAGATGATCTTAAATTCAAAGCTAAAATTATAATGCTGCTTCCTTTGTGCCATAATATCTTTCTTTCTTTCTCACTCTCTCTTTGTCTTGTAGTTTCAAAGACTAATTTATCTGTACATGAAGACAAAAATAGGGTTCCTTATGTCAAGGTGAGTTCCTGAAACCTGGCATCAGTGTGCCATTAAAATCTTAACGCAAAGTGGTAAATGCCACTGATCTTTAGACTATACAAGTTGTTTGTTATAATTGTCTTCCTGGTTTTAGGGTTGCACTGAGAGATTTGTTTGCAGTCCAGAAGAAGTGATGGACACTATTGATGAGGGCAAATCTAACAGACATGTAGCTGTGACAAGTATGAATACACAGACACAAAACAAAGAATGTATTCAATATAGAGAATAAAATACAATCATCCATCCATAAACAGTCACTGAACTGTAAAAGAAACTATAACATCTGTATTTTTCTCTTGACAGTTTCAGTTTTCAAACAGACAATGTAAGGTGTGATTATAGTTGTAATTTTGTCTATGTGTTTGTCTTAGACATGAATGAGCACAGCTCCAGGAGTCACAGTATCTTCCAGATCAATGTGAAGCAGGAGAACACTCAAACAGAACAGAAGCTAAGTGGGAAACTCTACCTGGTCGACTTGGCAGGCAGCGAGAAGGTCTGTGTGTGTTCAACTTTAGTATTGTAGTTCAGTAAAAAATGAGCAGGGTGTTTTGAACTCTTGCATTCTCTCACAGGTCAGTAAAACAGGAGCTGAAGGCGCAGTCCTGGATGAAGCCAAAAACATCAACAAGTCTCTGTCATCCCTGGGCAATGTGATATCAGCCTTAGCCGAGGGTTCGGTGAGTCACATACTCACGCATACATGCTCACAGGCTTTAGATCAGTTATGTACACCCTTTGTTTTTAGTGTTTGGCCCCTAGACAAGTGAGGATAGCTTGTATGAGTTCAGAGATTCATTTCAGCATTGTCCAATTCAGTTTTCTGTTCTTTATCAGTATAACCAATATTGCTACTTGCGTAAAGCCGATGAAAGGACAATGCAAAATAAAATATAAAGTACTACAAAATAATGTAATTAATTTGATTTGGTGTGTGGCATAGTTCTCGCATTGTCCTGTTGGAATTGTCCCTGTTACTGTAAGTCGCTTTAGAAAATTATTATTAATTTATTTAATCCGATAGAGAATTAAAGAACAAGTAAAATAAAGTATGATACTGAAGATTTGGTGTGAAATAGACCAGACCAGACTGTTCCTCACATGATGGGCAGCACAGCTGTACTGTGCTCTTAGTACACAGACCTTGTGTTCTCTTCATAGGCTGGACAGTTTTTAATTTTAAAAAGCTTTCATACTCAAAACCAGCTGAGCGAGCAAAACTCTTTTCTGTGCTTCATTCTTGGTATTGTAAGGCCTTATTTTTGTCTGAGCTATATTGGAGAAGTTAAATTGAAGCTGGAATCAGACTGCACTATATTTCTGGTCTGTTACAATAGTCACTGTCAGTTTATGCAATTATTTTTGTTGTGGATGTCACAATTATAACATGTCATACACACATTGCTGGCCGTCTTTAACGACTTTGCGTGGTGTGTCATCGAGAAGTCAGAACAAGCGACTGACTTCTAGAAACAAGAGTGTACGCAAACAATGGCTACCGAAGCAGCGTTTTGTACTGGCTGTCTTGCTAGCTAAATACTTATTCCTATACTTCTCACCGTGTTGTTAAAGCACCTCCACTATTGTTCGCCAGCATTTATCTTTTTTTCACTCTTTTTTTGTTGTAGTCCCTCGAGGAAAGGGACTACAACAGTCCCTCTGATGCCCATCATTTGCAAATCATTACGACGCTCTACGTCAACCAGATCGGGCTAATATTGTGTTGTCTGAACCCGGCATAACCAAAACTTGCATACTATGTTAAAGGCTATGCATTTGACCCATAAATTAACAAATTACATTAAAAACAGAACGTATTATTATCACAGACACAGTCTGATATAAATTCAGGTGTCAGAAACATTTTAATTAATGTAAGTTGATCAAAAGTAGTAATTTAAATTTGGAACATTTTCTTTACGTCAATAAATAGCGCAATTTTGCAAACTTCCTTTGAGTAAAAGACTTGTAGTCCTGAAACTTGATCATACAACTTAATTTAAATCTGTTGTATTAAACTCTGTTGATCTAATTCTATCTGGAATCTCTCTTTGTTTCTTTCTCAGGCGTATGTTCCTTACAGAGATAGTAAAATGACAAGGATCTTGCAGGATTCTCTGGGTGGGAACTGCAGGACCACCATTGTCATCTGCTGTTCTCCTTCCTCATACAATGAGGCTGAGACCAAATCCACTCTCATGTTTGGACAGAGGTGAGGAGATGCATTTATATTTGTCCAACTTTATCCCTTAGTCATTTCTTTCCATTCATAATAAAGGTGTCATTTATGCAAGATTAATTACAGCTCTATGTATTTATGCAAACAACGGTGTGAGGAGAAAAACACTAGAGCTGTACAGTTGTGATTGTTTATGTGTGTTTGCAGAGCCAAGACCATTAAGAACACCGTGTGTTTGAATGTGGAGCTAACAGCAGAGCAATGGAAGAAGAAATATGAGAGGGAGAAAGAACGGAACAAGAGCCTGCGAAACACCATCACATGGCTGGAGAATGAACTTAACCGCTGGAGAAACGGTCAGATCGCCATTGGTTTTTCCATTTGCTTATATTTGTGAAACAGTTTTGTTATTGCATTCAAAATTTTAACACTTGTTTATGTAGTGACATTCAGTCTAAAGGCGGGCGTACACGGTACGAATTCTGACGGTCGGAAGATCGTATGCCCAGGCACACTTTACGAGTGCGTTTATACAAAAATCGTATGGAGGCAGTGATATACGACACGATTTTACGACCTGCTGAATTCCGAAGAAATCGCACAAAGTTCCGCACTAAAAACTCTCATAAGTTATAACTGCATATAAAACATTGATACAAGCCGTGGTTATTTTGCTATAGGCTCGTTTTCAGCACCGCGAAACGGACGTCCGGACGGACATAGTTACGGTAGGCTACACATTCAAAAATAAATTTCAAGCTCTCTGAATGATTAATTAGCCGTTTAAACCACCTCATGTGAGCGTTTGCAATTCATTTTGCTGCGAGAAGCTATCGCCGTGAACGGGGCTTGAGTGAGCTTGAGCGCGTTGTGAGAGTGAGGGCGCGGGTGCCAGATCCCGTGTTGCAAGATCCACATAATGGAAAGGTGCCAGTATCTGGAGTTGTTTTTTGGATTAATGTCACGCTTTAGGAAGTTATTAAAGTGGTTTGTAATATATTTATCTTATTTTCAAAACACAAGCTTTGAACTTATTTTGGATTTTTATATAATTTCTTTGTTTTTGTTAGTTTTTGCTTGTTTTTCGTAGCAATATCTGGCAACATTGTTCTGTTGGCATTAATAAAAAAAAGCTTAGGCTGTAGACAAACTGTTATTGCTTTTAGGAGGATACAAACATAACCTAATGATCATCGTGATGTGTAAGAATCTGTAAGAAATGTATAACACTATCAAAAACAATAGCATAGCCTACAGTTGTTTCAGAATGAAATATGCCAAATACTGGCCAGTAGGAACACGGCAGATGCTGTTTAGTTAACCTTTCACAAAGTCATCATAAAAACATTAATTGAAGCAGTGTTTCTAGTAGTCCACACCATTTTCGTATTTCTTCTGTGGATTTCCTCAGCTCCCGATTGGTCAAATTCAGATAGATCGACAAATCGGCTCATTCAACCGCATACACCTCGCGAATGCAAGCCAACAGCTCCCGAACTTTTTCGACATGCTTAAAAATTATCGGGAGGTCGAGAGGTGCTCGTATCTTCCTCGCACACGATACGAGCCGCGACATGCGAGCATAACCGATTTACACGCGATTTCCCCCGAGTGAAAAAAATCATCTGCGAGCTCGTAAAACAGCAAAAAAATCGCACCGTGTACGCCCGCCTTAAAACCAATTGTGATATGCTTCTATTTAGCTTTTTTGAATCTTAAATTATTTATATGATTCACTGTGCATCTTAACTTAAAAAAAAAAAGTAACTGTCCTGATATTAAATTTAGGTTTAAACTTTTGAAAGTGCACCTCTGCAGTTCCTCAAGGTCCTCTCTGTGTGTCCTCCAGGTGAAACGGTTCCTGCAGAGGAGCAGTATGATAAGGAGAAGGCTAATGCTGAAGTGTTGGCGCTGGATAACACAATTAATAATGACAAATTTGCATCCACACCAAGCATGCCGCCTGTGCCAGGAATGCTCGGGGCCCGACTCACCGATTCTGAGAAGGAGAAATGTGAGGTTGAACTCACCAAACTCTACGAGCAACTTGACGACAAGGTACAGACATGCATGTAACATAAAAACGAAGCAGATTTCTGTCATCTATCTAATGATTCTGGGTGCTTTCACACTTGCACTTTGTGCGCACACCCGGATGCGATTTGACATCAGATTTCAGTTTGCTTGGATGATGTGAATGCTGTTTTCCAAACTTGGGTTGCCCACACATCTGAGCCCAAGTCTGCATTAAAGAGAGTGTACAGTTCATGTGAACTCTAGTGCGGTTCACTGCTAATATGAACACTATCGTACAAAATTGCAGAAGTGAACTGCTATTGATGGCGTATGATTTGATCAAATAGGGTTTTGTTTGTTTTCAGTTCTCACTCACTTTCCTGAAAAGCGCACGGCAAGCAGAGAGAATATGTTTCTCATTTGTGCTCGCCTTCAGTAGAAACGGATTCTTGTGTTCTCTAGAACGTTTTGCAGTACATTCGCGGCAGATAGACGCAAGTGTCATTATGTGCTGACACTTTTGAAACAAAATCCGAGGTTCAAAAACCAAAATATAAAAATGATGTGAGCAACGCCATGCATTTCCCTGCCTTCTCCTGCGTTGTCGTTGCCAAGAAACAGAGGTAAACAGCTGCTGGATTGATGACACAAAGGCTATGTCAGTCCAAATTCGATTATATATGTATCCAATTGGAATCTGACCTAAATTATAGACTGTCCACACTGAGTATTGCGATCATCCGAGTTCATATCCGATTTTTGTGTTCCGTGGTTCTCTTTTGTTTTCCGGAATATCATCATAGGTTTCTATGGCAATAATGTTGACAAACACAACAGCAGCTGCAATTTGGAGATGTTTTGTGTTATTTATTTATATATTTATTCTACTGTGTCTTTAAAGTAATGGCAGAAACGTCGGAGGCTGGTATGTGCAGCTTAATTCCATGCTGTCATTTCTGCCTGTCTGAAAACATGTCTTCATGTTTAGGCTACTGTAATTGTCTGCTTCACCGGCACTTGCAACAAACAACCTTATTTCTGAATATTTGCATGACATGCTTATGTTTTACATAGCTTGAGGAAGTTACATAAACCACACAAAATCCGATCCCAGTGGTCAGATTGAAACGGATTTCCAGAAATGCAATTTAAAGGGATTTCAAACCACACATAAATCTTTCTCAAAACGTATTTCTTTTTTTTCCTTCTTGTATTTATTTTTTGCTAATACTTTATAAAAATGACCGGATTCTAGTCAGAGATGAGCAAATATTGGATTTGGTCTAATAGTCTGAACGATGCTAAACGCAACCACGGTTTGGACCGAAATATTTTGTGAACACAATCCAGCAGGGGATGGGGGTAGCAGCAATTGAACGCTGGCTCAGATCAGGCAATCAAACCTGGTGTTAAAGCACCCTGAATCTACAAAATTTCCTTAAAAGGACCACAGGCGCTATACATAGTAATACATGGACTTTTATTATCACAAACATGTTTTTTTCTGTGTACTATCTCATCTCTCTCCAGGATGAAGAGATTAATCAGCAGTCTCAGTTGGTGGAGAAGCTTAAGCAGCAGATGTTGGACCAAGAGGAGGTTAGTCAGCTCTCATGTGCACATATTTAAATGAATATTAGTAGGTAAACACTGTTCATGCTCGTATATGTTTTTGTCTGTGTGTTGCAGCTGCTGGCCTCATCACGGCGAGACCATGATAACCTGCAGGCGGAGCTGAATCGTCTGCAGATGGAGAACGATGCGTCTAAAGAGGAGGTGAAGGAGGTGCTGCAGGCCCTGGAGGAGCTTGCCGTCAACTATGATCAGAAGAGTCAGGAGGTGGAGGACAAAACCAAGGAGTTTGAAGCGCTCAGTGAAGAACTTGGTCAAAAATCTGTAAGTGCCAGAAGGGCTAATAATAAATCAGTCTTTTGCTTATGGCCGGCCTGCTGTGAGAAGAATGACACTAAACTTGACTTTAAAATGCTCTCTGTCTCAGAGCACCCTGGCATCTATAGACTCAGAACTGCAGAAACTGAAGGAAATGGCAAATCACCAGAAGAAGAGGGTAACTGAGATGATGTCGTCACTGCTCAAAGATCTGACAGAGATTGGCATTGCTGTGGGCAACAATGACATCAAGGTGAATGACAGTTTTTTTTTTCTTTGTTTTAAGGTGAAGTGTAACGTTGCGGTGTTTTTGATGCTTAAACAGAAATTATATAAAGTGCCCCTATTATAAGGTCAAAAAACCACTTAATTTCATCAGCTCATTTTTCAGTGTCTGAAACAGTTCAATAAGGGATTTAGTCTATGGCCCAGTCTGTTGTGGCAGTGCATGCAAGGTGCTTTTTACTTTTTTAGCACAGAAAGCAGTGTCTTCTTGAGACCAAAATTTTCCAGGCCTCAGCTACAACAGCAGTTTGAGGGAAGGTTAAATTTGATGTTGTTCATGTGCATCCAATAAAGACCACAGGCTGGCATTATGCACATTGCGGAGACAATAATTTAATTTATTGTGCACTTTGATCTCTAAAACTTTGCAGACTTTTACATTCACAAATGGCGAATGGTAATATCTGAAAAAGCAGCATGGGGCACTTTAAGAGCACCACAGTTTTTATTCTGTTGTTATAAGCAAATATCTGTATTTGTAAAGTGTCTATTCAAATATTATGCCATCTTTATAGATTTTCACAAAGACTTTTAATATCTTATTTTTTAGTAGCTTTAATAACTATAATTAGTTGATTTTTGGACTAAACATAACAATATTGAGTAATCTCTCTGTCTTTACAGCAGCATGAAGGCAGTGGTCTTATAGACGAAGAGTTCACTGTAGCCAGACTCTATATCAGTAAGATGAAGTCAGAAGTCAAATCGATGGTCAAACGTTGCAAGCAGTTGGAAAACACACAGTCTGAGAGCAACAAGAAGGTGGATGAATCTGAGAAGGAGCTTGCAGCATGCCAGTTACGCATATCCCAGGTATGGTTTCACACTCCTCTGTTGGATACTGCCTCCTAAAACACACTCATTTATTACATGGCAAACCTTTGCTCTATAATCTACTAAACAATGTTATGAATAAAGTAACAAGTACTTTATATTAACATATCGATGTTTGTTTTGCAGCATGAGGCAAAAATTAAATCTCTGAGTGAGTATCTGCAGAACGTAGAGCAGAAGAAGAGACAGTTGGAAGAGGACGTGGACTCCCTTAATGAAGAGCTGGTCAAAATCAATGCACAGGGTACACAGACTCATTCAGATGAAGATTATGCATTTACATGTACTTCTTCAAAACGGGCTTTCATTTTCTGTGCTGCTAATGTTTTTTGTGTGTTTCTGGCCACAGAGAAAGTTCATGCAATGGAGAAAGAGAGTGAGATTCAGAGTGCCAATGAGGTGAAGGTAAGAAATGTGTATACACGCATACAATTGAGCTTGTGCAGTTTGAATGTTTATTTTAATTTACCGTGAGTGTTTGCGTTTAGGATGCTGTTGAGAAGCAAATTCAGAGTCACAGGGAAGCCCATCAGAAACAGATCAGCAGCCTGAGAGACGAGCTGGAAACCAAAGAGAAACTGATCACTGATCTTCAAGAGTATGATACACATTTCAGTCAAAATCAAACGATATCAGTGGGAAATTCTACTTTAAAAGTGCATGTTAATATCCTGACTGACTTTAAGATGTCATAACTAATGATCTATAGCTTCACATCAAAGTTAATAGTTGATTTACAGCATTAATAATAATAATACAGCAGTAGCTAATAAATCTCCCTCTCTCTAGTCTGAATCAGAAGATCATGCTGGAGCAGGAGCGTTTGAAAGTGGAACATGAGAAACTCAAATCCAATGACCAGGAGAAGAGCCGCAAACTACATGAGCTCACGTATGTAAAGCAGTCCGTTCTGTTCATCTTCCTCATTGTAGAGGTTGAGCTGATAAAACCTTGTTTTTGAGCGAAATCTCCCTTGTTACTGTTGTGCATCTGAAGATTTGTGCTGGAATATTGTACAAAGCTTTAATACACCTGCGTTGTGTAATGTATATTAAATTAGAGTTGTGCATGGATTGCCTGTCTTTAGTGATGTGCTGTTTTAATGGTTTTGTGTGTGCATTACAGTATGATGCAGGACCGCAGGGAACAGGCCAAACAGGATCTAAAAGGCTTGGAGGAGACTGTGGTGAGTGCAATTCCTCATTTCAGCACTAGAGAGAGACAACAGATGACATTTGTATTCACATCGTGTAGCGTGTACATTTAAATATTACATATTTTCTATCTATTTAAGGCCAAGGAGCTGCAGACTTTGCACAACCTCAGGAAATTGTTTGTTCAGGATCTGGCAACTCGTGTTAAAAAGGTGCGAGTTGATCTGTCTTTTGTCATCCTTTAGTTTTCATGTACTGTCTGTTATCTTTTTGAAAGTCAACTTAAAGGGATGCTCCACTTTTTTTGGAAATGGGCTCATTTTACAACTCCCCCAGAGTTAAACAGTTGAGTGTTACCGTTTTTGAATCCATTCAGACGATTTTCTGATATTTAGAAGAATATCATTAACCAGACAGTTTCTGGTCTCATTGACTTCCATAGTATATTTTTTTCCTACTATGGAAGTCAATGAGACCAGAAACTGTCTGCTTACTTATATTCTTCTAAATATTTGAAAATCGCCTGAATGCATTTGAAAATGGTGAAACTCAACTGTTTAACTCTGGGGGAGTTGTAAAATGAGCCCATTTCCAAAAAAAGTGGAGTATCCCTTTAATTCTGCCATTTAGGTCAATGTAAATCCAAATATTGAGTTTCTTACTAAACAGTCAAATTGGGGGTTGTTTATTTGTTTTTTTGTGTAGAGTGCAGAGATGGACTCTGATGAAACTGGCGGCAGTGCTGCTCAGAAGCAGAAGATCTCTTTCCTGGAGAACAATCTAGAACAACTCACCAAGGTCCACAAACAGGTAAATCTAAACCAGAAAGTTCCTCTTAATGATTTACACAGGTTTCCAAATGTTGAGCAGTTCAAAATGTATAGACTTTTATATTTTTTTAAAGATTTCCCTTTTTATAGTCAATTATGCTTTCAAAACTACATACATAGTTTACTAAATGAAAAAAAATTCAAGAATGTTGGCTGTCTTTATTCTTTAGCTGGTGCGTGATAATGCTGACCTGCGGTGTGAGCTTCCTAAACTGGAGAAGCGTCTGCGGGCAACAGCGGAGCGTGTGAAGGCTCTGGAGTCGGCGCTCAAAGAGGCCAAAGAGAACGCAGCTCGCGACCGCAAACGCTACCAGCTGGAGGTGGACCGCATCAAAGAGGCCGTGAGAGCCAAAAACATGGCCCGCAGAGGACACTCTGCACAGATAGGTGACTGCACAATTCACCTTGATAATAATATTAACGTCTGGTGTCTGTAATTTGGGCTTATACAAAAGAGTGACTGATCTTTTCTTTCACGATTTGCCTCTATTCTCTGGTTGTAGCTAAACCCATCAGGCCTGGACAGCAACCTGTAGCTTCTCCTACACACCCCAATGTGCTGCGTGGAGGCGGTGGCGTCCTCTACCAGAACAGCCAACCTATGCCCATCAGAGGAGGTGGCGCTAAACAAGAGAAGAGGTACTTAAGAGAGAATCTGGGGCTTTTGTTTGTAGGAAGACCATAATGCTAGAACATTTTATTTGGTGCTTTTCTGACTCGCGTGTAGTGTAAATGGACGTTTTGAATTCGCATAACAATTATGTCTAACAATAATCACAATTACAATATATTATTATTATTATTAATATTATATTTAGAATTAATGATAATTATAAAATTGTTTATAAAATAATCAATCAATTTATCGAATATATCCTTTTTGTTTTTTGTATCAGTATAGCCAGACTTCACTGTAATTTTGTAAACTGAATGCAGTCAGGATGTTATCGACCAGCAGGTTTATGGACTAGTTAGCAGCCAAATATTCCACCTAGAGAATACTCCAGAAAATGGTTATAAAATTTAAAAAAACAATATCAGTTCTCGTTTTATTATGATCTCTGTTGCATTCTCTTTTTTGCCAGCAGACTCTCCTTTGTTTTTCTTTTTATTTTTTTACGGGTGATTCCCCTGAGGTTACCATAGGTAAACAGGGTAAAACAAAAACACGTTTTGTTAATTTTGAACATAAGTGACATAGTGTTTAATTATGCAGTTATTTTATAACTGTATCATATCTCTTTTAATTTCTTTTAAGTTTAAGTTTAAGTTCTTTTAAGTTTAAATTTTCCTTGCTTTTATTTTTTGATTATTTTAATTCCTTTCTGTAAAGCACTTTGAATTGCCATTGCGTATAAAAAAAATGCTGTTATAAATAAACTTGCCTTAACATTAAACAATGAATGAAAGTACCGTGTGAACAGCCTCGTGGGCACAGGTTTGTTTAGCGCAGCTGTATTGGATCCTGCTTTCTAACTGCCTTCCTTATCTTGTCTTTTAGCTGAAGATGAGTTTTTCTCCCTCACTACCGAAGCTGCGAGAATGCAAGAAGTCTTCATGGAAATGTCATTCCATTAACATAATCCCTCCTGCTGGTGCACATGGGAGGACGTCCCAATCGAAATATTCATGGCTGTACAGTTCCACTCCCAATTTGTTTTGTTTTTTTCCCTTCAAAGCAATTTATTTTATGAATATTGCACTCGCACGTGCACCGAACATGACCTAACAAGGAAATCAAGAAATAAACGTTAGCAAAGTGAACAATTGACCACGACCCAGAAGCCTGTGCTATCAGCTGTAATCTCTCCATTCATCTGCAGTCCTCAGCTGCTCTCTGCACACCTCTGTTAAAACTACTGCCTGATAATCAAGCAAAAGACCTCGCTCATGGCTTCACTTCATACGGGTCGGCGTCTAGACTGCAGCAAGCTTGTATAGAAAAATACCTAAATAGAGAATATGCAAGCGTGCTCGTCCGCAGATCGCCTATATCACTACAAACTCAGATGTTCCTGTGTGAAAGTACTCTGTCTGAACAGGTGCAGATCTGAAACCCTATGGTTTTTACTTTCTGTAGTAACTAATGGTTGTAAAGGGGAAGGTGGAGAGGATCATAGACTTGAGTAACCAGGCCTTACACAGCAGGCTAATGCTGTAAGTGTCTCAATTTAAACATGCAGTCACAAATGCTTTTTTTTTTTTTAACAAAAACAATTGAAGGTTGTCCTGTCCTGCTCTTCGCACATATCACGTCTTGCATATCAAAATTCTTATTCGAAAAGTTATTGTCTATATTTAAGATTATTCTATTAATCAGACTTTTCTGCCTGTATCCTCGATACATAACTATTTAAATGTTTTGGATATGTATGTGTTGGTCAGTTTACATCTGTAGAAGTCCTCACGTGACATCATTGCTTGCTTGCTCTTCCACTGTTACTGATCAACCAATCAGTTTAGCAGAATGATGGTGTGGGCTGGCTTGTTTCAAACTCCAAGAGGACATTGCGGAAAGGGGTTGCTTATTTTTTTAACTCTCTTTATGAGGAGGTTCAATGAATGTGGATCATTATTATTGAAGCTAGCCTTAAATGATTTTATTAAGACTTTACACTCCTGATATTGTTGAAAGAAAGCTTAGGAATTGCAAATTACAGGATATGACAACCTTCAGTGTCATTTTTGCTTTCTGGGTGTTTTATACCTTTAAGTGACGTCACCAGGACCATTAAGAGCGCAGTTGTGTTAATAGCCCTAAATTCTTCCCTTTTCAGTGCATGAAGGATAATTAATTGATGTTCATGGGGAATGCCACACATTTAATGAAAACTTCAAATAAATAGCTATTTTTTTTATTACTGTGTAATAGTATCTCCATGACTGATTGACAGAGTTCCACCGATGGACAAACGCACTGGATCATTCCAACAGTACAAGGTGTTATTGGAAGATTCGGGTTGAAGGGAAAGAGGGGATGACATTACTGATGACACTTTTTTTCTGGATGGACTGCATGACGTATGTGTGATTAAATCAACATTCTGAAACATGGGAATTCCTTTCTCCTTTTTTGTTGCCTATGATTTGATGTGTATATTTAAGACTATGAAAACTTGATCACACGTGTAAATGACAATGAAAATCTCAGTCAGATTTTCCGTTTACCAACCGATTTTATCCTTTCACTTCACACTAAGCATTAAATCTTTTTTTTTTTTTTTTTTCACATTTGAGTGCTCAGTAAAAACGTGTATCAACTTGCGCGTTGCATAGATAGATGGTCACGGTTTGTCACTTTTTCTGGTAGTGTACATGAAATTGACAATTTCTTTTTGATTGTGAGTTTACTATGTAAACCCAGTTTGGGCAACCCAAAAAGTTAAAAATAGTAGGGGAAATCGACGATACAAAAAAGATCGCTGCTGTATTTCCTTTTTGGAGCATGACAGTATATATTCTTGACACAAAATCACTTAAGTCTGGAGAGACTGGGTGAGCAAATGGTGTTTCCTGAGTTTTAGTTTTTGCATGAACTATCCCTTTAAGTTGAACACCTGCTTTACTAGCATATGTCCACTGGGGGGCGCCTGTCCTCAGTGTCCTGCGCTCTCAATTACCGTGACAGCATTAGTGGCAAATAATGGCGATCGTGCATTTTATCTGTTTAATTCTGTCGGAAATATAATATTTATATGGTAGTGGTAGCAATACCAGGCGTCGTAAAACTTGTTTATGGTTTGATTGATATTATTTCGTGCCTGTGGTTCTGTTCTACGGTATTTATAACGCTTCTGCAGAGTATAGCTGCTTGTACTCCCTTAACTAGACAAACATATACCAAAGCCGAAAGAAAGACGTAGTGGAAGTGCTATCACAGTCCTCGAAGCTCTGAGGTAAACTAATTTTCTGTTGTCACTTACGCACATCAATAAATGCAGGCTATTTGCTGCTCACTGTAGCAGTCTGTTGGTTTATGTGATTTTATCGTAGGCTACTGACAGCAGTGTCTGGCATGCTTTAGTATACTTCAAGGTGACTTGTATTTTTTAATACTAAGGAGCTCCAAATATGATGATCCTTGTAAGAGACCACCTTCCTAAAATAAAGAAAGCTGTATATTTGATAACACCCCCGTTTATATGTTAATGTAAACAAAATGATTGTGTTCAACATATTTTGATTTTAATGTCTTGAATGTGCATGTTAACTTTGACTGACTGACACACAGACATGTTAACTTTTTTTTTTACAAACTCTTTAATTTCTCTTTTAATTTTCATTATCATTTAAAACTAATGACTTTAGTTTTAGTATTTAATTCAACTTAATATTGTAAAATCTATCAGCTATTTATCATAAAAAATAATTATTGGTTTATCATAATTAGAATTTTAATATTTACACATTTCTAATTAATTTAACCTAAAATCTTGTTGTTGAAAAAGTTAGTCATATGTCAAGTTTGTTTGAGAAATATTCATATATGTATTTCAGATTATTTCTATAATATTTATATACAGTATATAATATTTCACGAGACATGCAAATATAATATTAATATATCATATTTTTGATATCTCTTTTTATGCATTATTTATCCCTTACAGTCCCAGTGATGATCTCTCAGATCACTCCCACGCTGTATCTGAGTGGAGTGCAGGCCCTGAATCAGTCAGCGCTGGACCACAGAGGCGTCACTTTGCTGGTGAACGCCTGCACTGAATATCCCTGCCCCGAGTTTGAGGGGGTAAAATGCATTTGCGTGCCGGTGGAGGACCGTCCTCACGCCCCTCTGGACCAGCACTTTGACAGCGTGGCTGAGCGGATCCAGCAGAACCACACTGGAAGCTCACTGGTGTTCTGCTCGGCCGGTAGAAGCAGGTCTCCGTCTCTCATCATGGCGTATCTCATGAGGTTTGAGGGAGTCACACTGCTTCAGGCTCATCAACGGGTTGTGGCTGCGCGGCCCTTCATCCGCCCAAACGCAGGGTTCTGGAGGAAACTGCTTCAGTATGAGAGGAAACTGACCCACTGCAACAGTATCAGGATGGTGGCCACCTCGCAGGGCGTCCTACCTGAGGCTATCCAGCTCACACAGGACTCGTCATACTGCCTTCACCTATAATTCAGTAGGACGTTTTGAACTGGATTTATTTATATAGTGTGTCTGTGTTTTAAAAGTCTTGATCATGTTTATATGAATCAAAAGATGTTTGAACATGGTATTCCTTGAAGTACCATTTATGAATATGGTAATCAATCAGTTACTGCACAATGGTAAACACTAAAAAAATGAAGTGGTCATAATCTGTGCAGATTAGAATATCAGCGCAGTTACTAAAGACTGACTATAATACAAATGGCTTCAGAGGAGTTAATTGTGACCCTGTATTTTTTTTTTAAATGAAAGAGTTTATTGAACCTTTAGACAAAATATAAAATAAAATCTGAAACATTTTTTCCATATGTGTTTTATGTTTTGTATCATAGATGCATCAGGCTTTTATGGCCTATAGTATCATAGTAAGAATATGGAGCTTGCATTTGTAATTTTTTTTTTAAGTATAACATACATACCAGTTGTCACTTTATATCTCATAATAACATGGTAAAATAAGATGACGTTTAAATCCTTAGTTTTATCATCAAAGCTCTGTTTTAATTATATATAAATATAATGCAATGTAATACTACTATAAGCCTGTTTTAACATTTGATATTTACATTTTAACATGAAAATAAAATGATGTAGGCATCATCAAGTAACTAATTGCTTTAGTCCAGTTTTCTGCTTGATATTATTTAACAAAAAGATATTCTAATGTTTAAGTTTATGTAAATAATTTAAAAGTTCAACCCGTAAACACTTTAAAAAGACCTGTACCACAACCTGAACGTGTACATGTTTAGAATTACACAAAATTGCCTTTGACTTAAAAAAGTATGAACTATCACCTAGAGGACGTAAGGCATGTAGTATAGTATGCAACAGGCTTTTCAGCAAAGATTTGATTATTGTGATCGTTAAGAGGCCTGTTTATCAAAAATGATATGTAGGATTTAGAGTTAATATAATTAGATAATAAAATTATTCAAACTAAAATATCAATATTTAGAGAAAAAAAGCTGAAGCTGCTTTGAAACAATCTGTGTATTGTATAAAGCTCTGTAAAAATAAAGGTGACTACTGTTCAGTCCGTACAATTAATCTACAGCAATCATTTGATCAGATTATCACATCAATCAGATGACAATTGATCAAATTTAAATTAACATCAAATAATAAATAAATAATTTAATTCGAAAAATAAATTGTAAAATAGTTTGTTGCTTATATAACTGCTGCATGATTTCTATGTGATTACTTTGCAGAATAATGTCTATGATAATTTTTTTATTTCTTGTCTTGTCACATTATAGTCTTGTCAAAGTCTCTTTGAAAAAGTTTAAAACATTATGGATATTTGTAAGTGTGAAATGGTGAGAGTTGCAGAAGAATGGAACAGTAGTGACACAAACTTAAATATAAAGGATCTGTAATCTGGATCAAATGCTGTTCAAACTTTAAATGATGTTTGCCTACATTGTGATAAGATAATATGTTCCTTTTAGAGAACTGTTAATCTGGATTTGGTAATTTGGAAGTGTTTGTCTCTGGATCACAGTGATCCAATCCAGTGTTCCAAAAATCATTCTGATCAAAATTAATCTTTTTGAACAACTGCAGGCCCAGGTTTTACTGTGATATTTTTAGTGGTTGTATGAAGTAATAATTCCCCTCAAGATCAGACAGGTCTTAATAACAACAGGTAGCCTATCATATCACATTAACATGTTTTCCCTGAAAATTGTGCTTTCTCTAAAATAGATGCCACCTGATGTAACAATTTTGACTGTAACGCAATATAAATACTTATCCCAAATATTTTGGAGGGCACGGGGAACTGATTTTTCAGGTTTAATTTGATGAGTTTTCTGTCTATTGCCTCACGGTGGCGTCAGTGTCCCGTCGGTCCCTCTAGAGTCCAAGTGAAGTTCACAGGCACCGGCCCGTCAGGAGCGCGTGGGTGAGGTGAGGCGGGACTGCATGTGGGGAAAGTGGGCGCGAGTGTGCCGGAGGAGTTCGCTCGCGCCGCGGCTCAGGAACAAGGAACTTCGACGCTCAACTAACATTACCCAGCAAGACCAATGAGCCTCCAATTCGGCTTGTTTCTTTGGTTAAAGCCCACGAAACACCTGGAATACATCGTCAGGTACGTTCATCTGTCGGTAAACTGTGAAACTAGGTACAATGATAGGCGTTTCAGCTTGTTTTACGGATTTTTAAAACGCGTTAGCAGGTTAGCAGGTAGGAATGAAAGCGAACCTGTTTCCTCAGGTGTGCTTAAGTTAACTCTTCTCTGCTAAGTTAAACAGCATTTATACAGACATTAACACTGAATTAAATGAGAAAACGACAATTGAAAGTTTATTTAGTTAATTTAATTTTAATCTGTCACATAGGTGAGTTTTAAAGTGTGTCCCTCACCTAAGGGAGGGAATTTCACCTGAACTCAGATTATTTAGGATTAAAGTTAAGCGTCATCCTGTTTTTCATTAATATTTATTAGGCAATATAATTTTCACTTCTATTAAACTTGTTTCGTCATTTGTGTTATATTTAAGTGGAAAAGTTCATTGCGTGAAATGTGACATTGATGTCGTGTATTGTTTGAAGTGTGTAAGTTACATGACATAGCTTCATGTTATACACGCAGGAAAGTGACAAGGAAATTGATCATTTTATGTCATATATTGGGCGAAATAATAGCCTAATTGGCAATGGCAAACCGTTAAACGTTAGTTTACATATTCTGCCATGTATTTTTAACACTTAGTTTAAATGGCCTTTCCCATAAATCCCGGATTGTATGACAGAACTTTAAATTGTTGTCATGCTGACAGCAGGGGAGTATATCGAGATTGTGTTTGAGATATGAGGTTTCTGTGTGGGCGGAGCTTCTGTCACAGGCTTTGCATTGTCTTGTTAAACTTTGTGTGCATTATTTATTAATTTAACTGAAACATTTGCTTTGTGCTGCTCGATGGCATATACATGTATTTCATTCACTGCAGTTTCCCATGACAGATGTCTCTGTGTTTAATGCTAAAGACATTGTAAATAACTTCGGGCTTCTAGTCCGAAAACATGAAAGAAAGCTTTGATCTTTCTCTAGGGTTCAGTTCATGTGGAAATTGGTTATGGTTGTCTCAAAAATTAATCTATCTTTTCTTCATCTCTGTGCATCCCAACAAAATCCCATTTTCTGTCACTTCACCTCAGGATTTAGCCTAGTCTTCATGATGCCAGCCCATCATCACTCATTGGATCAGGCTTGTGTTCAGTAAGCCAGTGTTCAGAGGTCTCTGGTTAAAGGGTTGGTCACCCAAAAATGAAAATTCTTTCATAAATTACTCACCCTTATGTAGTTCCAAACCCATTAGACTTTCGTTCATGAATGAAAATCTTTTAAATGAAATCTGAGAGCTTTCTGTTCCTCCATTGACAAGTCCACTTTTCAAGCCCCAGAAAGTAAAGACATCATTAAAGTAATCCATGTGACTCCAGTGGTTTAACTTCAACTTTATGAAGCAACACAAGTGCTTTTTGCCAAAATAAAAACATAATTTACCACTTTATTTACAAAATATTAATCGCATTCACAGGCCCAAATTATTATATTCAATTGTTATTTATTTTCAGATATAATAGTTACTCAAATAAAAACTTAAATGTTTTTATGTAACTGTTGCGCGTAAGGTAGTTTTAATAAACAATTGTCTTCATTCAGGGCTCCAGACTAACTTTTTTTACTATACTTTTTTTTTACTTTACTACGCTGTTGCCCCTGACTGAAAATTTTAGGAGCGCAACCAGAAAATTTAGGGGCACACCTTAAATCAGCTCGCAATGCAATTATTCAAATTTCCCTCAAAATAACTGTAATACTGACAAATTCTTTAATAATAAATAGACTTAACATTATGATATGCTGTTTTATTTTAAGTTCACAGGGCTCCAGACTCAAATTTGAGGGCAGCACCACCTCAAATCAGAACTCACACCAAGTTATACAAAAAAAAAAAAAAAAAAAAAAAAAAAAAAACTGGTAGCAGTGGGGCTGACAATAAATCACTTAGATTAATTTTGGGTGTAGATGAAGTTAACTTTAATTATTTATTATCACTTATAATGTCTTAATATTAATTAAAAAACAAAAGGAGAGAAACATGTATATAAGGACTTGGAGTGAAAATAGCCAATGAACATCCTACTGTTTACAATGTTTTTTTATTTTTTTTATTTTTAATAAAAAATTAGAATAATAATTTTTAATGTTTAAATAAGTCAAGTCACATTTATTTATATAGTGCTTTTCACAATACAGATTGTATCAAAGCAGCTTCACAGTGATAACATGAAAGTAGTACAACACAGAAACATAAGAGTTTTCCAACATCTTAAAATTTTTCGTTTCAGGACAATCTTTGAAGGATGAACAAAAAAATGTGTAGGCCAATCTAAATATAAATGTAAATTTAGGTAAGGTTAAAAGGTTAGTAAGGTAAAAGCACACAAAGAAATGTTATCATTTATTTATCAAAGTTTGCAATTAGAGGGATTCCTCACACATAAGATGGGCTTAAATGGTTCCACAGTGAGTGATGGAGAAAAAAGAAAAAAAAAAAATCATTAAAAAAAGTATCATAGTCATAACATTGAGAAATGTTTAGTTTTTTTTCATTCAAGGTTAGCTTCTGTTGGCTATAGTTTGCATGTTTTTTGTGGCACTGTACTATTTAAGCCCATCTTAAAAAAAAGTTAATTTATGGAATTGATCTTCTCTACAAAAAAAATTATGATGTATTTATTTGTAAATTAATGTAAAATTAATCACAAAACATTTATTGTTTGCAGTTCACATGCTTAATTCTTTGGCAGTCTAGCCTTTCTGTAAGGCTAATGGTTTGACCTAGAGATTAGCTTTGAACGTAAGCTAATAAAACTCATCTTTCCATTTAAAAGAAAATTATATAAAATGATAAAGTACTATTTGTTCATACACAAAAAAAACAATACATTTATCTCTTATTTGACATCATACCAATGTAGTTACCAAAGAAATGGCTGAAAATGGCAGAACGGTTTTGATTTCTCATGGGATCCTGAATCACCAAAGTTTTGGGGTGACTTTGTGTGAGGTCCCCTGAGACACATGGCTGGGCTAACTCAACATTTCCAAATGTGATTGGTATGCAAAAAAAGTAACAAGACACTGGATTGGTTAAAACGATGAGCAGCATAAAATATTATTTAGTTCGTGTAATATTGGCATGTTTAGCATAGGTGAATGTATGTGGTGTTGTGCATTTGGTATCACCTGTAGAAAATCACTGAAAAAGTACAATTTATATTTGTTTTAGTTAGGATGAGTTGCTCAAGTCAAAGTCACCTGAGTGTGGATGTTTGATGTGTGCTGAAGTTCATATACCCTGAAGCAAATTCCTCTTTGTTTCAAAATCCTGGTTTCTCCATGATCGTACTTTTTATTGTAGCATTGCTGTGACCTCTTAGGAATTTATTTGATTCATGTCTTCATTTATTTACTTTACAGTGTAAAGTGTACAAATAAAGATATGAACATAATACTGTATGTTAAAATGTTACCGGATGAGAAATTATTGGTTAAATTTGCTGGTCTATTTAGAAAGTGTAGTAGACTTTCATGTGAAGTGGCTGTTGAAGTGAAAGAGGGGTCTTTACGTCCCCCTGTGGTGAAAATCAATTGTTTATATGTGTCTGGTGTTTTAAATGTGCTTTAAGACAAACCATGTGCAAATTCATTAGTCAACAACACCATTGCTGACTAATTGAGAGTATTTTCTCTTTAAAACTGCATTGAACTGACGTCACAAACTACCTTGTAACCAATCAGGTCATGTCGACTGGCTTTAGCGTATTATTAACTATGAGCGCTCTGAAGCAGTGGAGTCTCTAGAGAAGCCCATTATCCCAGTATATTTTTCTGTTGATATGAATAATCAGGTACAGCTGACGTGATTGAGTGGAGATGGGGCTATTTAGCGTTCATAGATTTGCATACTAAATGAGGCAAGGGTATAGAGTTGCATTCAAGGCATTTTAAGGCATGAATCAATTTTCACAGGAATATGTCATTTTGGTGATCAAAGATGAGTTTTAAGGGATAAAATTGACTACAGAGGGACTTTGGCTATATGTTGAATTTATAAATTTATTGGTCAAATATTGAACTTTTTAAAATGGTTTTTAGGCTATTTATTGTTTGTTCGTTTACATTATCAGACATTATCAATTTAATTATCAGCTTAGCTATTATTGTACATATTTTTGCTTTTCCTTTCTTGAAACCAAATGTTTCAAACTATTTTATAGTAATGCTGTTTTAATTGAAAAAAATATATATCTATATATATATATTTCTCCATTTTGTTGTTCATCCTGTCAGTCTTTTATAGTATCAATTTAATGAACAAAAGCCAGTTCTTTAATGACATGTTTTAGAAAGCGACAATTTTTGCTGGGGAAACCAACAATACAGTCCGCAAACTTTATTTTAATTTAGTTTTGTTTAATTACATTTTTATTTGTAATTATATTTTTTTATTTTTTTTGAGTCCACAATAAATACTGAATGACAGTTTCTTGATCAAGCATGTAATTCTTCTGTCATTTACTATAACAGTTGACATTTCACATACTTTTATAGACATCAGTCATTGATATTTCTAATAAACTATTTTCCATCTCTCTCCCTTTCCCCTTCAGCTGATTCCATATCAACCCACCACAACCCACCATGCTCTTCTCCTCCTGCTATTGACCTTTGATCTCTGGCAGCGATGGCAGAACGCTCAGTGGCTCCAGGTCAGATGTACATAGAGGTGGAGTTCGACTATGAGTACAAATCCAAAGAACGTTTGATCACCATTAAACAGGGGGAAAGTTACCTTCTTGTCAAGAAGACCAATAATGACTGGTGGCAGGTACGCAAGGACGAGGCCAATAAGCCCTTCTATGTCCCAGCACAGTATGTGAAAGAGGTGCGACGGGCTCTCATGCCCCCTCCTAAACCCCTCAGTGCAGCGTGCCGACCCAATCGACCAACTGGCCTGGAAATCCAGCGGCCAGATGAGAACAAAAAAAGCCCTACTCCCTCTCCATCCAGCGGTGCTTTACTGCCGCCCAGGGATGACAGAGGCAGCCCGAGCAGCCCGACGGGACACGCCCCCCCCACACAAACAAACACTTTACCTGACTCGCTTCCTCTCTCCAGAGCAGAGTCCCCGAGTCGCAAAGTGGATGAAGAGAGGGATAAAAACAAAGAGTTGGAGAAGAGTGGTCGAGGACCAGAAAAAGGTGCAATTCAAGAAGTATTCATGGGAGAGGATAAGAACCGGAGTTATTCAGAATCCGGGGATGATCTCAGCAGCGGTTCCACTGATAACCTACAGGTGAGAGAGGTTTCTAATGTTATGAAAGCTATTTCTACTGCTACTTTGACTGAACTGACTGAGTTTGACAGTATGGACAGAGACTTCCTGCCTGAGCCTGCCAATCCAGTTGGTTACACATTCGAATATTCATTTGCATATTCTGCACTGTATGAATACAATGTATACTGATTCTTATATAGACTGCTGTCACTTTAAGAACTACAGTAATGCAGGGATCTGGAATATACTGATACACAATTTCTTACAGATGTTTACATTCGCTTTAGACAAAACCAACTGTTTATGTGAATCTTGTGTTTTTTACACTTTAAGTGCAATAAGATGATAAAGAGAATTTAGTTTGGTGCAAGCGCTGTGATAGCTGGCTGTCTGTGCATTGCATTTAGGCATCTACGGTGAAGGTGAACATCATGAAGGGATGAGTGGAACTTGTTTACAGGACCCGCCGTGGTCACATTTATGCCACAGTGATTTTGCAAACAGGTTATTCGGTCCTTGATGGCATCGATGGTGTTGTATTAGCTTGTTGGACAGATAATTTTTTAACCTTGATCAAGATTGATATGCCATTTTGGCTGGAGCTGTCAAGGTAGCCTATCATGCCAGTGACGTCACGGACAGTTTAAGCTCAAGATGGCTGCGCCCTGGTAACAAAACAACAAACTAACAGCCAACATCACTGTTTTCCCCCATTGTAACTACTTCAGCAGTCCTACCACAAATAACAATAACACATCTGTTATATACCTTTACTTCCTATTTCATTTCAGTTCCCTTTTAAGCCCCTTTAAATTACGTAGATGAAAGGAATTAACACATGTTCTGTTTTTTTTGAACATCGATTTAATCAAATTTGTCACATTTTTATGGTCTGTTTGATGCACACAAACATCTAAACATTTTAATTCCTAAACGCATTCCCGAATGCCACAGGGTTGGACTCCTGTTTAGCCTTATTGTTTGTTTTATTTTATTTATTTTTTCATATGTTGTTAGTCCTGTGAAGTAGGTTTTCACCATATATCGAAATATAGCAAATGTATATATTGTGATATGCATATGGCTTGCAATAACTGGGTTCATGAACAAAAGACAGAGAAAATCGGATTGGGTTGAAGTTACTCAGTCAGGAGTAGGCCGTCGATTAACAAAATGCTGAAATATTTTAAAGGATGTCAGTGTAGCCTCCGTCTTGTCTTAAATCATTTTATTTTACGTTAAAATATATGCATTATGAACAAAGAACCATCATTATTTCCAAGCTAGGTGTTTTTGTTAATCCTGTCTTCATTTAGTTGTGAATGGGGTCTCCCATTGCTTGATCCACGCCCATCATTTCTCCCCTTGCCTTTAAGATTTTTGGGTCCCCCATCCAAACTTTGAGGATACCGGGTATCAGATTTGCACAATCCATACAGACAACGCTTTGGCATGTTTCCCTCGCTCGAAAGCTTGCCAGACCTCCCGTGCCTAGTTACGATTGCTAAACTATGATTGGCCAGTGGCGGTTTTCGGCATGGCTTAGCGAAGGGTCAATTCATACAGTGAAAACTAAGCAGTGTTTTATTACATTTTTGATTATTCAGTTTCTGTTGATAAATAAACCAAATGTTGGCCTAACTGAATCCCTAACCCCGTGGTTTGCAGTGATGTTAAAATAACACTTCTATGCTACAGTAAAACACTGCTGTTCACTTTCAGAAGTTGTAGGGATGTTTTCTAGTCAAAAAATGCATGTATGTCGGTTATATAATTCTAAAATAATTTTATAGATAATTTAAGTTTACTTTATACACTTTAAGCATTATCGTATCGCATATTGCATATTTTTCTTCAATATCGTGAAACCCTACTGTGAAGTCATCTCTCTCTTTATCTCTTTTTCACAATCACACTCCTTCCTTTTTCTGAAGCTTTTTTTATCATCTCCTCCCACTGTTTTTCTGTCTTTTCCTCCTGCTGTGTCATCAAAGCATTTCTGCTAAACAGCAAATGTTTGCTGTTGTGTCATCATGGCATGTGTAGGATGGTGCGAATGCTTTCTCTAACTCGCACACTTATGCAACAGTTTAAAGGTTTCTGGGTCAAGATTTATTTTTTAAACTAGTACTTTTATTCAGCAAGTATGAATTAAATTGATCAAAAGTTACATTAAAACTGTCACGATTCGAGTACTCAATTTAAAAAAAATATCTTGATTGCGATTTGCTCTAATCGAGTAGCTGGCAAAATAATGAAGTGGCACAATACAAGGACGAGAATCCAATAACTGCATAATTAGACCATTTACCAAGTCTGCTTGATAAATTAAAACAACTTAAAAACCATACTATACCATAGTGGAATTCACAAAAGCTACGATTCAATTAAATAAATGTATGCCCTGGGTTTTTTTTATAATTTTTTTTGTTTTACATGTGTGTTGGTTACATGCGTCTCAGAGCGGATAAATGATGCCACATGAACTGTTATGATTTAAATGTGTGGAGCGCGTCTCATTCTCCATCTCTGCACATGCTGTGAGTTTGGGTTGATTATAACGTTCATCCTGAAACACAATGTGTGCCATTTCATCAGATTTGTAAAGTAAATCTTTTATAAACCTACACCAACACAGGCAAATAATTTTATATGTTTCTAAAAATGCAAACTATTCATCACGATTACAAAATAAAAGTTTAAACCCTCTCTCTGAGTTTGTACCGTGAAACTTCAAATAATAGCCGAGTCCCAAATAGACCCCTGTCTCTTTTACATGCCTGGTGTGGCTGCAGGTTTGGGTAAATAAAAGCCGGTCTCAAATAGAGTTTTTTAGTTTCGGGTTGTATTTAATCTTCTAAAATGTCAGATCGTCCATTTTTTGGCGGCTGTCAACGCAAATGTTTGTCCTGCCATAGCCTTTTTTGATCGGCAAGTGATGACGAATAGAATGGCTGCTGCGCTTGACACGGCACATAACGAGCAGAGAGAGAGAGAGCACCCGGCCGTGTGTGCGCACTCTCACGTCTTCAGACAACACGAGCACAGTCTTGGTCTCTCTCCCTCACGCATATTAATCAAAATCAGTTGACGGGATATAGTAAAAGGTCGGAAGTTTCACGTGGAGCATTTGGGGATTTTTAGAGATTAGAGACTCTAGGCCTACACTCAGTGAACAACATCTCAACACTAAATTATAAAGGTCTGTCTCATATAGACACCTGTCTCAAATACAAGCTGGTCAAATACAAGTCATTTAAAAGGCTATTGTTTGCTTGGGTCTATTTTTATTACCACACAAAAAAATCTGATTACTTAATTTTGAAAATAATCAACAGATTACTTGTTTGCCAAAATAATCATTAGTGGCAGCCCTATAAGATAGTAATTAAATAATAGTAATTAAATAAGAATGCATTAGAATTGTCGGCTACAGTAGGTTTATTTAAGAGTAGCAAGTAAGAAATTGAATAAATGTAAAATATACACTGTATAGACACTGCATGATAGACACTGTATAAATTAAATATACAGTGGTTGTTATTAAAGGTACTAAAAGTATTCAGGCAAGAGCAGTGAGTGATTTTTCTCTTTGTATTTTGTTGTTTGTTTAACATTTAATGACAGCTTCACTAATGCACAGATTTAATACACCGACACACATCTAAACTGTTTATTCACTTAAGATATAAACAACTGTTAATGTGTAAACCTTGCGTGTATTTGTCAGGTAAAGATGCAAAAAAGAACTTAATTCAGTTCTCACACGCTGTGTGACAGCCTTTTACTGTTCGTAAGCTTCGGGTGTATGTGCTCAGAAAAGCTTATGCCAGAACAGCATGTGAGTAAAAAGTTTAACTGGCAAGGCTTTAATGCATGGATTTCGTGATGGAGAAGAACAGCAATGGCACATGAGCGTCCGCGGCATTGCTAAATGTGATGTGAATGTAGTAGTATGTTGTTTGTCGCGTTGTAAAGTATGTTTGGATGGATGCGGGCGCAGATCGTGAAAACGTTTTAATTGTCCAAAATCTAAAATCGTGATATTGCCCTCCCCAACACCAATATACTTTATTTTCAGTATTAAATAGTTTAATTGTAGCCTATCATTATCTACAAACTTTCTTTTTTTGTTCCACATGCTTGACATGTAAATATAAACAAGGCGTTGCATAACTTGCACAGCCGCTTCTCTCTCACACATTTTGGAAGCAAACAGGTTCAAAAGATATAGACAAGTGTAGGTTGTGAATGAATGATATATAAATGGATGTCCCGGTGCTGCAGAGTTTACTTGATTTTGGAGTAAATCTGCTATCGTGAAATCCTGAAGGAATTGTTTGGGATATGTTCCGCTCTGTATTTTTGCCAAACTTGTTTCCATCTCTTCATAATCTACTGTTTGTAAACATCAGAAGTCCTTAAACCAAAATAATGGTCTTTGCATCATCATTTTAGTAGTCTACGACAGGGGGCAAAAGGGAGTGACAAAGAGGCCTGTAAGAGAAAAACTACCGTAAATAATAAGAAAATAATTCAATTAGATTCGATTAAATAAAATTCTAAATGATGATAATAATAAAAAATTTTTTAGTTGTGATTAATCTTCTATTAAATGAGTTTAAAATACATAAACATAATTTTGATGAATATAAGTAAATAAAAATTAATTACAATTAAATTAAGTCAATATAATGTTTGTGTATGTATATATTTGTAATTTAATAGTAACTAATTGTAGTTTTGTAACATCATTTTTTTAGTATATAAATTGGGTTTTTATAATGCCCTGGCTTTATATTTTTCAAAATGGGGATCCTCGCATGAGGGTTGTCATATTCGGGGGTCTGTGGCATCTAAAAACTCTGAAACTGAGCAAGGTGTGTTCTGTTTGCGCAAATGTGTCTGTTAATGTATGTGACTAAAGGTCACTTCCAGGGACGTGGAGGATTTTGTAAACTACATACAATACTACATCGAAGAGAGAGTTTGATGGAGGAAAGAGATGAAAACACTCA